GTAATGAGCATTATCTGCTAGTCCTCCTAATTTGTTTACCTAGTTTAAAAGCTCGGGTGCTCCTGGGGCCAAATAAACGGTATGATAAACAAATTAACATGTATTGATTGGCTTTTACAGACAGAAGTATCTCTACTTGTATCTAATCAGTCAGTTAGTCGATATATTATCCCCATTGCACATCAAACCACAGTCCATAATGCTCAGACACTCCTTCCCCCCCCCCCCCTCTGTCCCCTATTCTGGGTTTTTGCCCCAACGAATTCATTCACAGGGTGTAGTCCCGACCTTGCTGTTTGCTTTCCCGACCTATTGTTTGCTTTCTGTGTTGTCTTCTATGTACGTTTTCATTCTGGGTAAGAGAATTCCTGTGACTTAGGTTGCAGCCCTCTCAAATTAAAAGGGGAGGGGTGTTGTGTTAGAACCAGTGCTCCATGCTTTTGGAGCAGTAAAAGCGCTGGCGTGCTGAAATATACAATGCGCGATATCAACGGTATCGCGGAACACCCTCGTAATCTTGTGAGAAGGTGACTAGGCTCAGGAACTACCAATCAAAAGTGACCTAGTGTGTATATAGGCGGGGCTAACTCTGTTCCTGGCTCGTACGCCCTTCACAGTAGCCTTACCAGCAAGCTTGCTTAAGGTTTGGTACTCCTGGAACCACCTCGACTGGGGTTGGGAATGGGAGAGGGTACCCTACGAGTTACAAAATGATAGGGATTTAGTGATCGTAAAACACACTTCTTCATTTTTAAACATCGTCTTCATTAGCGCAGCATACGGAACCTGGATCTCATTGCGGCAGGAAAAAAGTTACTAGGACCTAGGTGCCGACACAGAGAAATCATTAGGGAGGCTCAGCCCCCGTAAATATATGCCTGGAGAAAAGAAGAATGTGAGGCTCTCAAGGGTACCTAGACATTGTTTAAGTGCCTAATAATATAATTACGTGCTGAATGGTAAATAAATGTAATAATATATGTGATATTATAGGAACTGTCAAAACAAATACTGAATAAATACTTCGTTCGGTGCTGGGGGTGGAAGGAAGGGATGGGGGGCTTGTAGCTGTGCCTCCCTTCATTTTTTTAGGTGTGAAGTGGCTAAATAGGCTTGACTTTTTGTCAGTTTTTCTGCCTTGTGAATTTTCATGTCCCTTCTGTCCTTGATCCAGTGGTGTGCTAGCGGACTCTTGCCTCTTTTTGCACAACCACAGCTTCCATTACCGTTCTTTTCAGACCACAACATTCAAACATTGCCTCCAGGAAACATATATTCTGCTGAAGTAAAAGTACAGGAATATTTTCAAAGACTCCAGGCGAACTGAGCATATAGGGCTGGACCTACATTTTGTACACAGATCGGCACTAGGTGGGTGATGTGGTCACCAGTCGCCTTTATTTCTCATGACTGTACCTGCTAGCCACTGAAGGCTGGGTCGACCTCAGACCCAATGTCATTTTGGAGAGAAAAAAATACGCCTCCGTCAGGACCCAAACCTACGACCTTCTGATCCGCAGGCGAGCGTCTAGCCGATTCGCTACAGTTTTTTAACATATACTACTGCTTCCGCGAAAATAATTTCTAAGCCTGAACAAATTGACCTAGTGCGATGACAGAGAAATAACAACGAAGAAGATGTTGAGATCAGAGGGCTCAGGATCCTTTGTCGTCTGCAGTAGCTAGTGCTAAGGAAAGGGGGGGGGGAAGGATCACGTTCTCTGATGTTTTAAAACTGCATCAGGTCTAACTATTTTGCAAGTATCAAAACATCTCAAGAGTCAAAGCAATTGCTAGCGATCAAACTAGCAGATCAGGACCCTCATTGTGCACAACCAAATAAAGTGTTCACAAGTTTCCTCGTTATTACCATGCTGTTTGTTGACTTGGCGTAGACAAGAAATATGCACGGACATATCATTTGTTCGGACAGAGTAAAAAGTAAGTAAAGGACCCTTTTCCACTCATTTGTGCATATAGGGCATATAGGGCTAGACCTATATTTTTATAGACCAGTCGGCACAAGGGTGATGTGGTCAGCATCACGCCGGCCGCCTCTACTTCCCGGGACTGCACCTAGTACCCACTCAAGGCTGGGTCGACCTGGAAGCCAAGGTCATTTTTGAAAATAGTCCAGCTCCGCCAGGGAGCGAACCCACAACCTTCCGATCTGCGGCGAGCATCTAACCGCTCGGCCACAGGGACCCCTGTTCGGACATAGAATGGATTTAAGAACTTGGCAACACCTGACAAGATTGTTGAGAAACAAGCTAAAGGAAGGCAAAGAGACAAATGCATCGACAACTGGCTACATGGATGGGGCTAGGCAAATTTTCTGACCTGATTCGTGATTCTTTTGGTGAGGTAATTTGTAAATGATGTCTGGGTCATTACTAGTTGCCATCATGCCATGCAACATCAACGACTCGGTGTGATCCTGCTCACTGCAGCAATAGCACAAAATATGTTTACTATTACAAATGCATGTATGAGATCACACTAGGTACCTTTACAAGTTATAAGTAAGATCTGTGTAAACGAACACTGCTTTGTTATCGTTTTGTAAGGAATTCTAAGATTCGTCAACTCTCGTTAAATTGTCTTTACAGCCCGAGCAAGGCAATTGTTCCAGTAGTTCCTCCTTACATCTTTGGTCTGGAGCTCAGTCATGTCAGGTAGCATTCTATTCTATCGGAATATTTTTGTTTGTGTTTTATGTATACCATTTAGAAAAGTAACTTATGTACAAAAATACATTTTTTGCACCACTAGAGCTTTAGCTATACCTGTTCTGCAACCTGGGAGGGAAAATAGCAAATAAGTTTCAAGGGAGGCGTAATACAATTTTAAAAGTGATTGCATTTGTACTTGAAATAATCCTTTTAACTAACATTTTGTTTTGGTTTCTATGTGAATAAAATATTTTACTTCTATTCATTTTACAAAAAGACAACTTTTTTTTTTCATGAGCAGCTTGTATATCTGCCGGTAATAATCTAATTACTACCATTTGACCCTCATTTAATTATTTCTTAAGAACACATTCTGACCAAAACCAATTTTCCTACTTTCTGTTTCCCTTTCTGTGAATGTATGGGCCTTTTTATTTTTTATCACATTCTGTTATGTGTGTGTGGGGGGGGGGGGGAGATGTTGATCTTGCCATATACTCAAGAGAGGTGGAGGCATGGGGAGGGGCGGGTCAGTGCTGTGTGTTTTGCCATAAATTGAAGGGTGGCAGCAGACGCGCTTTCGGATTCGAAGGTCATGGTATCGATGTAGCATGCATGCGTTTTAACAGAACTGGATTTTTTAAATTCAAAAATGCCTTGGCTCCCACAGTCGACCGCTCGCTTTCGGATTCGAAGGTCATGGTATCGATGCCGAACAGAACTGGATTTTTTAAATTCAAAAATGACCTTGGCTCCCAGGTCGACCGAGCACCGAGTCATGATTGGTCTATAAATTATAAGTCTGGCCCTATACCATATATGCCCAGTACGCCTAAAGACGTAAAAACAAGTCCCTTAATTCTTTTCTTTTTTTTTACTTTACTTACTACATAATGTTTCTGTCTTGCACTCACTCCCTTTAACTTGCTGTTCTTGCCGTATGATCAAGCTTGTTGATACAGGCACCACTTGGTTTTCTCAAAAGTCTTAGTCTCATAGAGCATTCATTATATCAGCCCCGCCCATTGCTCATCATCTCTTTACAGAAGCGGTCTCTAAAAATCTAATAGCATTTACTTCAACACCTACATGACCTGCCTAGAAAATAAAACCATCTTTGTCAATAATGTTGTTCTCAGAGACTCCAAGCTAATAAATTGTTTAACGTAATGCAAATAAGCGGCTTAGGCGTTGCGAGTCCGGCTCGTAAGCCAGCGTACCGCGATCGAAACCCACTGCTGGCAGCGTTGATTTTTATCATGGTACGGGGCGTCGCAGGTCGACCCAGCCTAAAATGGGTACCAGGACTTGTCCTCGATAAGTAAAGACAGCCGGCGTAATGCTGACCACATTACCCACCGAGTGCTGATGGTCTGTAAAAATATGGGCGCTCTTCCCATATGCCAGATACGCCTAAAAAGGCGTGGACAGGGATCTTTACTTTTTTTTTTTTTTTAATGCAAGTAAAGTAAAACGTCTTTCTCACGCAGCATGGCGAATTAGGTATAATGTTAGTCTCACATGTAAAGATTAATTAATACAAAGTACAAGTAAAAGACCCTATTTGCCAGTGGCGATTCGAGCATATGGTGCTAGAATAATAATTGTATAGACCAACCGGCACTTAGAGGATGATGTGCTTAGTATCATGCCAGCCGAGTTTTCTTCCCAGGACATTACCTGGTACACTTTTAGGCGGTGTCGACCTGAAAGCCATGGCTAATTAAAAGAAAATTATCTTCTGGCCAGTATCCAAGCATTTAGTCACTACGCTTCCGCGGCACCTTGACAATCAGTGAATTAAAATAAAGTATAATTATGTTGTATGATATGTTTTCCTTTCGAAACATTTTTCAGAAAGATTATGACATTTTAATGAACTATGCTGAGGAGCTTGACAGACACCTTGGTGGGGTATCTTTCCTTTCTCTGGAGGTAGGATAGTAATTTGTAGATATTAATTTAGTCAATGTGCTAGTCACAAAACATACTCAATGTATATTGAATAAGGGACTCTTGTCTCCCTTGGGGTGCATCTGTTACTAGCCCCATATTTATACAGACCAGTCGTTATCTCACCCTGACCGCGTTTGCGTCCCATATTTATTTATTTATTTTGTTCTTGTTGCTATGCCAGACAATTTTTTGTTTTTTAAACCACGAATTCGAACTCACCACTACTAAGATAGCAGACGACCGTGCAAGTCACTTTGCTGTAAAGTAAGACTGTGCCCACAAAGACTTGTCCAGTGTCTGTTGGTCTGTAGAAAATATTTAAAAGAGCTTGATGGAAAAAAAACCTGACAACTCAGCTATTATTTATTGCAGCATGAAGGGCATGAAACAAACAGTTTTCTTCGACATTTTCAAGATGGAATCATGTAAGTTTTAAATTTTTTGATTTTTCCGTCGTTCAGTGCTTTTACGAGTATTAAGTTGATAGTCTAATTTATACGGTAAAAAAAAAAAAAGCAACCCGATTGCTTGTTTTTATTAGTTTGTAAATATCGCACCTGTATATCTAAATAGCAGACTCAAATGTTGTTTACCATGTCCAATGAACTTGTGGACGTAAATTGCATACGTTTTTATAATCGTTACAGAGCAATTGTCAAATGTGCTTAAGGCCATATTTTTGAGTACAGCTCACGATGCGCGCACGAAAAAGCAACAGAATTTGTGATGAACACTTTTTACTGCCTACGCAATCGAAACCCTATGAAAGGATACGCTACACTAAAACATTCAGTTCATTTTCAAGCAGTCACGAATAGCGCCTTTATCGAAAAATTTAAGGAATTTAGCTATTGCTCGACTGCAGGCAGGAGAATGTCAAAGTCAGGTTGCCAGGCATCTAAACGTGCATCAGAGTACCATCAGTCGACTATGGCACCGGTTCCAAGCCACTGGTTCAGATGTCGCAGGGGACGACCCGGAGTGGTAACGGCAGTAGAGAACCGCTTTATTCGGCTACGTCACCTCAGAGACATGTTTATAGCAGCTTCATCAACTGCGCAGGCATTGCAACCAGGACGTCATGTGTCTGATCAAACTGTTCGGAACAGACTGCATGACGTTGGACGTTGAGCACGACGACCGCACTAAGGACCTGTCCTTAGGCGTTGCCACAGCCAAAATTGACTTCTTTGGTCAAACCAATATCGCCCCTGGGCAGGTGTCAATCAATGGAGACGTGTCTGATTTAGTGACGCATCGTTCTTTTTGTTGCAGCGTCATGATAGACGGAGTAGGGTCTATCGTAAGGTAGAAGGTTTAGCCCAAATTTGTGCTGCTGTAGCTATGCATAACTGTTAAACCTGTGACAAATGCACGTTATCTCAAGAAAATTAGTATTTTACATACGATATTTGATATGTTTGAAACGATCTGAGTCATTTAAAAATTTTATTTATCCATGACATCTGATGTGTTGTGCGCGGTCTCACACAGGGAAGAAAACATAAATAAATCAGCCACTTTTTTTCCCCTATGTATTCTCAATTAACTGACATGTAAACCAAACATTATACTAAAAATTATTTCTTTATAATATAACCTAGCAAAATTACATTATTGCTGAATAATATAAACTAGCATATATTCTCAAAAGATGTCTTTATCTGGATATTTAGCGTTATGGCGGGCAAATCAAAACAGGATTCGCGAATGGCAACAAAGGATGGGAAGAGACTCTACAAAGCTGTTGGAAGATTGTATCTGTCGGCAACATGCGTAAGTTTATGAGTACAATTAAATGTTTTGAATTCTTGCAGTGTGAACCTGAAACCGAACGCAAATGTGAAGGACTACGTTTTCTTTTTTATTTATACAGGACAATAAGTGTTCAGTGCGAAGTTTTTTATCATCATCATCATCAAAACCTCGTCATGCCGTTTATAGATCACATAGGACTCTCAGTCTATTTCTCCATTCCACAATAAAACTGAACAACGGCAGATTTGTTTGGTTCCTTGTCTGCTGAATGATTTACCCAAGATCTGATTCATATTTACGTAATGATTAATTAAAAAATCATCTTCAGTACGGAAGCTCTTCATTGTCTACTTTTCTATCAGAATTTAGAAGAAACAACTCAGATTATGCAATAACAACATTTTAGGAATACTGGTATACAGACGTATATAGGTCTAGCCCTATACGCCCCAAACGCCTGAAGGTGTGCAAAAGGGTCATTTACATTTTTTGGAAATTACAGAAGTGGGTGTTGTTTGTATTGTATTCAAACCCACCAGACTGCACAACAAGCCGTCAACACCCGGTGACACAATGTATCACCGTTAGGATGAGGTGGTCATTATTACGCCGACAGCCTTTACTTCCCATGACTTTTCCTTCTATCGACTTCAGACTGCTTGCGACTTGGTAGCCACAGTCATTTGTTAGGGGGGAAAATGACTGTCCACTCCGTTCGGATACGACCGCACGACCTTCGGATCAATAGGCGAGCGTCTAGATGGTCTACCACTGACTGACTGACTTTCTACCCCACCAGGACATCACACAAGCGATAAACACCCGATGACACAATGTGCCACCATGTCGGTGAGGATCACCGTGGAGAGGTCCAAGAAACCGCGTTCAACCATTAGGCCATATTTATGGCCAGGCTATATTGCAGCCCCTGGCAAAAGCCAGAGTAGGGCTTCAAATAACAAAAAATTTCATCCTAAAAAAGGACGAGAAGGGATTTACATTATGGTCTACCACAGCTGCTCCCTGCAGAAACTGCAAATTATTGACTGAAGAATACATCATTACAAATACAGTTGGCAGTTTTGTTGTTGTTGACATATTAACAATGTTTTCTCCAATCCTTAGACTAACTATTCAGGCAAATGTCCAACGGAGAATGACATTTTCATACTTGACGGGTACCCGCGGATGTATGTGTGGGTAGGGCAGAGGACCGACTTTGTTCTCAGAGTTAAGGTAACTAACCGATGCTGAAGTTCCATTCAAAATAATGCTTGTTCATTTTCATTTACTGTACATTTACTCTTTTTTGGTTCGAATCAGTTGTTACTTTAACTCGTCCTATCCCAAGGGGCTAATTTAGGCCTGTACGGGTTATCGAAAACACCAATTGAGAGAAGTAATTAAGCTAAAATCATTCAGAAAAAAAAAAGTCAATATCTTCTTCAACTTCTTCGTCTTCTTCTTCTTCTTCTTCTTCTTCTTCTTCTTCTTCTTCTTCTTCTTCTTCTTCTTCTTCTTCTTCTTCTTCTTCTTCTACTTCTTTTTCTTCTTCTTTCTTTTCTTCTTCTTCTTCTTCTTCTTCTTCCCCTCCTCCTTCTCCTCCTCCTTCTTAGCGCTCCCCAGCTGTAACATCCGGCGGAAGGTTTTGACTGTTTCTCTGCATCTGGCCTTTAGTCTTGTTCCAGAACTTGAGTTTTGCATGCGCCGTTTTACAGATCTGGCAAATCGGTATGTAGAATGCAATAGCAAACTACTGGACGTAAATTTGCCTAGAAAAATCACACAACAGCCCGGGGCTGTTGGGGTTGGTTCTGCGACGTCCTGTAAAATGATACGCAACTAAGATTATACTAACTTGTATTATTGAATACATTATTTTGTCTTATTACCAAATTCAGTGAGAATGGGTCTTGTAAATATTTAAATAAATTCAGTGTATATGTTCTCATGAATTTAAAAAAAAAAAATGTTATCTGAATGTCTACCACATTTACAATTTTTTTTTCAACTCTAGGTTATACGACTTGCCAAGAAGATCAGATCAAGGCAGCAAAATGGCAAATCTATCATCGTTGTTGTAGGTACGGGGACGCATTAGATACATATTAGAACTGTTTCACTATCTTTGGATGATTAGCTGCTTTGTTCCAGATCTAAATGTTAGCTTGCCATTCATTTATCACTGTTTTGATGCTTTCTCATCCACGTTTTCTTGGTATTCTATTAGCAAATTTGTAATATATTTTGGTTCTGTATTGTTGTCCATAGTTATGTCTCTCTCTCTCTCTCTCTCTCTCTCTCTCTCTCTCTCTCTCTCTCTCTCTGTCTGTCTCTCTCTCTCTCTCCCTCTCTCAATTTACTTTCCATCTCAACAGAACAAACTGACAAACTGATGAGTGACGCATTTCTTAAGAAACTGAACATTGCTGAACAATGTGAACCAGGTGCTGGAGACAGTGTGGTGGCTGAAGCAAAATATTACAAACCCCGTTTATACAAGTAAGTTTTTGAATTTTTCCCAGTTTTTTTTTACTCTCATTATTCCATTGCTTCAGTCTTAACTGTTCCAAGGCGGTTCCGATAAGTACTGTATGTCATTACTATAGAACACATATAAGAAACTTATAAAGGACCCCTCAGCGACTAATTGTCATCAGCAAACAATGTGAAACATATACACTGCACACACACACACACACACACACACACACATACACACACACATATATATGTATATATATATATATATATATATATATATATATATACACATACACACACACACACACACGCGCGCGCGCGCGCGCAGGCAGTGAAAAACAATATTACTATCTTTAAATATTAAGTAAATTAAACAAATTAAAAAAAAAACAACTAAATAATGTTAACGTATATTATTATGAATTGGACACGAATCCGAACGGTTCCGATTTTTGTGAACGAAAAAGAAAGACATATGGCTCTACACATGCCAGGTCGCAAACTGTGGGCTATTTCATTAAAATCACAGATCTGGCTGACCTCACATGTTGTCTGAGAGGCACAAAAATATCAGACAAGGTGTCAGATACAGTTTAATTATGGTTTTATTTTTTTTGTTTTCAGTTAATAATAGACAAACACAGAAGGCATTAAGAATGCAACCCTGTGTTCATTTAAGTCCTACATATAACGAACAGGCTTGATTTTGACCATACTATTTTAATAAATACCACATGTGTCAGATGTCATTTTTTCGTTTTAAATGTTGAGGAGCGTTAAGCTAAGAACCTGCACCAGAGCACTCTTTGCATTACCATAAGTGTCCTTTTTTTATCTTCAGTAGTCAGTACACATTTCTAAGACTAGCGGCGCAATCCAGTCCAGTTAAAGTCCAGAGGATCGACTTTATTGCACCGGGTTTTATCCCATATGGCTCCGTCTCTGTCCGCAGAATGGCTAGAGGCCTGTCGAGAGCGTCAAATCATGAACAAATTCGGTAGCTCCGGTGGCGATCCCTATGGATCTGCGTAAAAATTGCACTCGCTAGCAGAGCGCAAAAGCCGTGAAACGAACATAGACCTTTACAGCACTAGGCAAACGGCTTAACAACTTTACCCTGGGGACCCCGTATTTAGTCTGATCATTGCCTTTCCTCTTAACACTAAGGGTCAAGATTTAATGAATTATTTAACTAATTGGCAAAATGTTTGGGGTACGTTTTAAATTTTGGGAGCAAATATTTGTTATCGGTTAAAAATTGGAACTTATCAGTAAACAATGTACCATTCATTTTGACCAGAGTCAACGGTGCAAGAGTCCTGTATGATATGCCACTTGTAGCAGAACAGCCATTGAAGCAGAAATATCTTACTAGCCAGGTGCGTAGTGTTAACAGATGGTTCGTCTGTTGGGTGCCGTTTATAATTATGCTGTAATTTTTTTTTTTTTAGAACAGTCTGGTTGCATTACGGTGACACATTTACAATAAATAGCATTCTAAAAGACCCGAACATCAAACAACATCTTGTCTCTGAAGCTGAAATATTTTGTCCAAATGAAGCGCCACGACAGACTGAGACAAAAAAAAAATAGCTGAAGGTATTGTACCAGGAAGGAAGGGCTGCGACCGACCAACATGCAGATGGGCACAGGATATGATTCCTTGGATATGATGCATAGGTTGGTTGGGGGGGGGGGGGGGGGAACGAGCTGCGAGAGAGGGAGTTTTTTTTTTCCACAAGCAGATAGTGATGAGAGCGACGTTCTACAAAAGGACCTGCTACATGATAATGATGATAAAAAACCCAAAACCTACATGTCTATTAGAAGCCATGGTAGGGCAGTGGTTAGATGCTTGACTGCCTACCCGAAGGAATTAACTTCAAATCCGCACCGGGGTGGGTTTTTTGTTAAGACTGGGCTTCCATGTCGATTCAGCCTAAAACGGGTATCATGACATGTTTTTGGAAGTAAGGATACAAGGTGTGATGTACTAAAGCCCAAGACATAGTTAGTGGTGTAGCCAACGCCAACAGTGCTTTCTTCACTTACGTTTTTTAAAAAATAAGACACGTGTCAAAACTGACTGGTTTTCCGAAACAATGATTAAACCATGATAAAACAATGTTGATGATTTGATTTGATGTTGTGATTATGTATGATTTGCTTTGAAAATATGTTCTCTTAAGTAAGTTGTTGAATGAAGTTTAGTATTAGTACAATATTCCTTGTTCTGTATGTTGTTCACCTCGATAGTTGACTGGTGTGCTGCAGTCCCCTAGGGTTAGGGCTAGCGTTAAATAAATAGTGACTACCACTAAACCTAACACCCCCCTCTCCCCCCATTCCTATTTCCCCCACCTACTATATAGGACGTTGGGGGGATTTCCCTACCAAATTACGAAGCTGACAAGATGTGGTTGCATAAAATTAAAGTATCCACAAAAGTGATCTTCACCTTCAAATGTGAAAATGTGATTACCGAACCTATTGGCAAGAGTGCCAGCTCTACTTTACGTCAGCGCCCCTATAAACACACACATACATCAGAAATAATATATATAATATCCCATAATCATACATTACATATCTAAAAATAACGGTGCCAGGGCTTTAGTAGATAAGATAAACTGAATAACATGTAAGACAAATCTGACATTTTTAAAGTCTCATTTTAGAGTGAGAAAATATGTTTTGTAACAATGTGATTGCAGGACTCCTTCCTCCTAGACAAGAGACCCTCCGGCCCACTTCATATCTGGGTAGGCAGTGGCGCAGGCATTGATGCCTTGTATAATGCTCTATCCTTCGCAAAGGTAATCTAAAATTGTTCTTACTTTAGCGACAGACAGACAGACAGACAGACAGACAGACAGACAGACAGACAGACAGACAGACAGACAGACAGACAGACAGACAGACAGACAGACAGACAGACAGACAGACAGACAGACAGACAGACAGACAGACAGACAGACAGACAGACAGACAGACAGACAGACAGACAGACAGACAGACAGACAGACAGACAGACAGACAGACAGACAGACAGACAGACAGACAGACAGACAGACAGACAGACAGACAGACAGGACAGGCAGGCAGGCAGGCAGGCAGGCAGGCAGACAGACAGACAGACAGACAGACAGACAGACAGACAGACAGACAGACAGACAGACAGACAGACAGACAGACAGACAGACAGACAGACAGACAGACAGACAGACAGACAGACAGACAGACAGACAGACAGACAGACAGACAGACAGACAGACAGACAGACAGACAGACAGACAGACAGACAGACAGACAGACAGACAGACAGACAGACAGACAGACAGACAGACAGACAGACAGACAGACAGACAGACAGACAGACAGACAGACAGACAGACCAGACAGACAGAAGAAAAAAGGAGGGGGAGGTAGGAATATAAGTTTGTCCATTTATAGCACTATGCATTTGTATTCTCGATGGTTCTGTGCAACATATGAGTTGACGTTTTTGTTATGTGTACTTTTTGAGGGGACCAGTTAAGTTAAAAATCTCTATAAAAGCAATTCGGGTATTGCACGAACATTTTTTTCCCATCTACAGCTTTCACAAAATTGTTATAATACAAATGGTTCCAGCTGCAGTCTGATCTGTTTTTTTTTTTTTTTTAAATCTTCCTCTGAGCGTTGAGAGTTGGCTTTATCTTCTGCTCACTCCTCTTTTATCATTGTGTCTATACCGTAATTGGTGCTTTTCCTCTATGGAAGGAAACTGAAGCACCTAAAGGGATATCTTCGCTCAATGAGTGCAAATCCTCTAAACGTTCTCACAGAGGTCTTTAGACCAGTCCTTGTAATTGCAGCTATTTGGTGGCTAGAGAACAAGATGCATACACATGTAATTGTAAAAGACCACGAAAGCATGCTGAGAAAAAGGAAGACAGGGATGCTCTGAGCAGAGTGGCAAGATTCACTTGAAAGGTCACGGGTAGTGAGCATACTTTAGATCTTTTCTCCAGACGATGCCGGCGTGGTGGGTAATGAACAGGCAGACATATTGGCTGGATCTGCATCACTAGGTGGTGAATTGATACATAACAAGGCAGATGTGGTCAAGGCCATTTGGGAATCAGTAGAGAAAGAAGATATTATAACGTGTAGAGAATTAGGCACCCGGGTGTAACCAGAGGGTCTGGCCGGCTCACTGAACTTAGAGGAAAGGCAATATGGACATAAAACCAGATTGTGACCGGTACAATCAGTTGTGGAACTCTGATCTGACTGCTGAAGATGAGGATGGAGCACGCATGGGAATGCCCCGAGTACTGTGATGTCAATTGTTAACTTATATCAACTCAACTCTGTAGCATCACTTTAGTCCTGATCGCTTCCATACAGTACAGCGTAGTTTGTTTCATATATTTGAAGTCTCCTGTATCCTACATCTCAGAACTTTAAGCAGCACCAAGGCTATCCCGAATACACTGCAGTTTGTCGTATGAGGGAGGGACATGAAACAACAGATTTTAGACGGGCTTTCGTTGACTGGAAGAGCAGGCTAAAGAAAAACGGCATCGCAGGAAAATCATACCCCTTTACTAACACAGGTTTGTTATTGTAATGTTGTAGTGTCAGATCTATTTAGAAGTAGAAGTAAACCAAAAATGGTATTGCGTCTTGTTAGATCACTGCAAACCAGGTACCAACACAGCCGCTAAATACATTAAGAGTGGTTACCAATTCATGTCACGGAGTAAATCAACCAAACCCTACACAGTAGACTCGTCGTGACGTTGACGCCCCTAGCGGGCAGGTCACATTTCCAATTTAAACCCGTCCGGTGGGTATATAGTCCCTCATATTGATATATACCTCTATCTGGTTGAATAGATATTTCTATACCCTCTCGTTGTTTTGAAAAGTCTACATTTTCAAACTTGCAACTGTGGGATAGATATTTTCTGGAAAAATATTCCGAATTCCTGGAAACCTTTTTACTCCTTGGTGTACTAATACAGAACTTTTTTCTAGAGACGCCAAGCGAGATCAGGCGGGGTCATTCTTTGCCAGACGTATTTCACCTCTCTGATTAAATCTTAACGCATTCAGAATACCAATTTAATCTTTGAAGGATTCCAAAGCTTGGGTAAGTTTACGAGTACCATGATATTTGTCTCTATAAAGTTAGCCGCTGCTGCAGGGAGGAAAGAATCAGCTGGGTGACAGCACAGAACTAGGCCGTTCTTGGTGTCCAGACACTCAAGCCCCTAAAATCAAACCTTTCCCTTCGCAGGCTAATAGTTTGTGCCCTACATGACCCACACCATTATAAAGATATTAAACCCAGCAAGTTAATTATTCTCTAACCAGCCAACAGAGTTTGTGTCGATTAGCGGACATATTTAACTGGGTCACCCTTCAGTCAGACGTTATTTTTAGCACAACAACACAGGCTGTGCAGTGGGCAGATTGTATAGGTATAAAATATGCATGTAAGAACGAGATAGAATGTATGTCTGCGGGTGCAGATGGAAAGGTGGAGAGAGGATGATCTATGTGTAGTAGTGTCTGTCTATCTCCACTATGGATCTTGTCTCCTATCTCTTGTACTGCCTTACAGACAAAGATAAATGAAGGGGGAATTGTCTCCTGTTCCTGAAAGTTATCCTCTGAGTGACTGAGAAGGGTAGATGGAAATAAATTGAGCTTAATGTGTGACTCTTAAGATGAATACTAATTCTGAGTTCCTTCCTGACAGGATGATACCTCCCTGGAAGTCAGGCAAACGATTCACAGTCCAGCCAACTACCATCCACCAAAAATCCTACCTATTGTCATCATAACTTCAACTTGACAGAAGCTTGTGTGAGTTCCAGTGGCTGAGAGACAGTTGTTGCAGGCCACCCGTGTCATCACTCCAAGGAATCCTTCTTCATAAGCTTTGTTGGGCTCCAGCACAACTTCTTTGTTCTCATATATGAAGAGTGTCAGTGTTTACCAGATCAACCAGAGAAAAAGCAGTCTACTGAGTCAACCTGTTAGATCACCATGAACTGAGGGGAGCAGTGACCTACCAGACTGATAAGTAGCATTTGAGATGACATACCGCATGCTCTATTTACAGGTCTACCCAAAGGAACCATGATGAACACTGGACCTCTCTAAAGCTATCTTTGGCTGTTTCAACATCATCTCATAAATATTAGTTCCTGAACTCCAGGCACCGGGAACCAACTTTATTTTCTTGATATATATATATATATATATATATATATATATATATATATATATATATATATATATATATATATATATATATATGTGTATGTATGTGGTGTATATATTATATTGCAATTATTACATCCATTCAAAAATTTTCATGGCTGACTTGGGTGTCCCTGTTTCACTTTTCTAACTGTCTAGCTTTTATGTTTGTGTGATTAGTAAGTGTAATCTGTGTTAACATGGCTGTGATAGTAGACTATCATAGCCTGGGGGCTATCTTTTTATAGTAGTGTGGGGTGTCCAGCCAAGTTGCGCCTAGGATTATTAGATATTCTGTAGTGCCAGAACTTGAGCTGCCCTACTCCTGAAATAAGTTGAGCGTATATTGGCCACGGGATATCCATTAGATCAATGCGAGCCGACGCCTCAACATTACTTTATTTCAGAGTGCTGTTGGTTTCTTAAGGAGAAATCCTTAAATCAGGCACGCGACACAAGCGTTATGTGACAATTCAGTTAAACATCGACATCATAGCACTCGGGAAATTTCTATGAGCCTTCCAACAGAAAGGAGGGTGATGTCTGAGAGCATGGGCTGATAACATCTGAGATTATGCGCTTGCCCAGTAAAGGAAAATTGCCACTTGTCGAACGCTGGACAGACAACTTGATTCTTCCCATGAAGAAAAAGTGAAAGATGATACAAATAAATCAAATATTTAACATACAGTGAGTGACCATGGCAAAGAGTACTTTAATGAGCAACAATGTATTTTTTGACAACGCCACCTGCAGTTAATTAATTTCAGTAAAAGAAATAAAATACAACATACTTTTAGTTAGTGATTTATTGTATATATTTCACATAGTAATCCCGTAGCGTGCTTATTTACCATTTGAATGGTTTAGTTTGATCACTTTTTTTCGGGTATGTCAAATGAATAATAAATATAAATGTATGTATTTTTCTGTAAAAATAGTCGTATTATAATCTTTACAGGGTAACTGAAAAAAATGGGGGAGTTGAGAAAGAAAAAATGCAGACAGACAGGCTTTAAACTTATTCAAGAGTAATTTAATAAACAAAAACCAAAACAAAATGTTAGAACCGATATCTAGTACGTTAAAACATATTCATAAATATTTTACTGTCGTATTCAATATTTGAAACGTTTGTGCATTATTTAAAAGAGTTCTATACAGATGCACCTGGACAATGTAGGATAGCAGAGTCCCTAAGGTCATCCTATATGGTGAATTAAAGATGGGTAGAAGATGTCGAGGCCGACCTCTGCTGCAATATAAAGAGTTAGCGGACAGTGTAGACAAAGCTAGAATGAGGGTCTGTCCTTCCGTCACCCCAATGCGCTTCCTCAAGGCTGGGCATATTTATAAGGGTAAAATTAACAATGTCGCATACGCTCCATCGATACTTGACTGTGCGAGGGACTAGTTACTCACTGTCGACCTGCCCGGTTTTAAAAAGTACCCAGAGTCAATCCGGAAGACTGGCCTGAGACCCGACATAGTTCTGCATTCTGCAAAAAAACGCCAGCTCATCCTCATTGAACTGACCGTGCCGACCGAGTCGCGGGGGAAAGAAGGCCACCTTATAAAAGCTAGAAAAGTAAAGTGAGCTCGTGGTCGGTCTGATGAGAGACGAAGCGTACGCAGTTAAAATCTTCGTCGTCGAGGTAGGCGCAAGAGGTCATTAAAACAAGTAAACGAATCTGCTGAAAGAGCATCGAGCTGGCTCTGGAGGCAACGGAACGTCGTAAGGGATGCGCCTGAGTAGACTGGTCGAGTACCTAGTGGAAAAGATCTTCTTATCCCTTAAGCCAAAGTGTCCGATAAATGTCTGCCGGTGTCTCTGCCAAATGCCAAAGTCTACCAATTGTCCCATGAACCAAGCTAGTCACTCTGGTCGTAAAGATAGTCAACTAATCAAATTTTCTACCGCAACGACAGTATAAAACCAGATCTCACAACACCTGTTGCAAAGTCACCATATCGTCTTGTCCCTGTCGAGTCCGATATAAAGCATTGGAAGACTGAGACCGGGAGTCATGACCCAGATCGGGCCCACCTTCCGAGACTGTATAGAAAGTATTGGGCCGAAAGAATAGTCGACGAAGGATCTTTCTACTGATGATGGTGGACCCCTGCTGTGCATGCTTCCCTGTGGAGTTCTTCTTTTTATTAAAGATATGTGCGAGCGGGACATGAATGATATAGGTATTGAGGTGGACCTGTGGAAACATAATGTCATTGACCGTGTTGTGTAGAGGGGCCACACCAGGAAGGGAATGAGAATGAAGGAAGAAAACATTGCCGAAAGGTTGAGAGCTGAGCGTCTGAGAAGAAACGCACTAAGCACACATGTTGACAACAACGATCCTGAATCCCATGCTATAATTGTGGAAGAAATTTCTTAACACGGGCGGTTCTTGTTAGTCACACTCGCAATCGCCATGGGCAGTGAGTCTCATGCCTCCTCATAGCGTTGTTCGTCCATCACGAGTGATGAAGACCACGTTCATCCAAAGTAGTAATGATCAATTGTTATGAGGACGAAGGTGGCTGATTCGTCCAATATGAGCCAGAAAAGTTCTTGAGCAGTGCGGACAACAGATGGGAGCTGCAGTGGGTGTGGGATTAGCAGTTCGATTCTTTCTAGTCTGCCTCCGTTTCTCTGCCCGTGCAACCTCTGCTGCCTGGCAGGCCGATGCAGCATGTCTGAGGACGTACGCCATTCAGGACGGTCTTGTGCAGCAGCCTCCCACGTCGCTGTGTTGATGCCAAAAGAATTAAAAGCAGTCTTCAGAGTGTTTAACAATTTAACTATCGTCTGGAAATAAGGAAAGGTGCCAATCAATCCATGTAGATGAATGTTACCGGTTTCAACCCTGAGATATAAGTTTCATAACTCTCTTTGCAGATAAATCATCACATGGCATGGATGACAGCTCCCACGATGACTTATTTCAAACAGAAAATGGAACAACTGAAGTATAGCAATTAAAGCAGTTGTATTTGTTAATATGTTTTAAAAGTGTAGTAGTTGTCCTGTATTTCTCTGCCAGTTAGGACAAGGGAGAGAATTCTTAAGAATTGTATATTACAAATGTAGAAGTGAATCAGAGACAGCAGTTTGGGTGAAAAATATGTCGAAGCGGCTGATATATGATTGTATAGAATGAGCACAACATCCTGGGCAGATAAAAAGAGTAATGGTGGCTTGAAAGAAGTTAACTCACTAATAGAACTGATTACTCACATGAGGAAACAGTCTACATTCGTAGGCCACTCATGAGGGGAAAACTGGAATACATCATGAGGGTGGGAAAGTTAGAGGTGAAAATTGGCTGGGGGAGACTGAGAGAGAAGATGCTGGATAGTTGTCTGACAACATGGCCTCGGAGATTATCTGTTAGAAATGATTGAAGATACACGAGAGAGAGAGAGAGAGAGAGAGAGAGAGAGAGAGAGAGAGAGAGAGAGAGAGAGAGAGAGAAGATGCTGGATAGTTGTCTGACAACATGGCCTCGGAGATTATCTGTTAGAAATGATTGAAGATACACGAGAGAGAGAGAGAGAGAGAGAGAGAGAGAGAGAGAGAGAGAGAGAGAGAGAGAGAGAGAGAGAGAGAGAGAGAGAGAGCTTTGGGTAGATTAAATATTTAATTCTTTCTATACCAAGGAATTAACTATCATTTGCTACTCCTAATGTGGTACACATTTTATTCTGTTCCTTTCCCATTCATCTGTTAAATTAACCATTTATTATTCAGTTATTACTAAACGCCAAATACCCCAAAGATGTGTTTTTCTGCTCTATGAGACCAACATATTGTTGCTATTAGATATAAAAACGTTAATACGTACACTGCTGAATTCAGAACTAACTGAGAATAAAAGCGTCAATAACCCTTAGCCTGCTGACAAAGCAGTTGTCGATAATGAGTAATGATGATGAAACCTAACACATTCAGCATTTACCATGCGTTTGTGGGTTTCTGCTTGTGTAACTCCCTTCCTGACGGCCCGTCAAGTTGTCACTCTGTCGTGTATTGTTATTTACTCAAATATAAATATACATTAGTTAAAGTAACAACTTCTAGGGTATAAATAATTATAGTAACTTGTAACTGAGACTGTTGTTACTGCCTGCATGCACCACTTAAGGCAGGAACAACTGAAAGAGTTAAAACAGTTTTTAATTGTCTATTTCTTTAATTGCTTACAAATTACCACCAATAGCTGTTTAACTTGTTATCTAACAGTTCAAATTTGAGTCCATTTAGGTCATGTTTTCTTACATTGTTATGTTATAATCGTTTTTTTTTTTTTCGGGGGGGGGGGGGGTGGTGGTCGGGGGGGGGGGGGTGGTGGTTGTGTATTATACTCTTGAAGTTAAACAATTATATATATATTTTTTTTTTTGCAGATTTGGAAAATTAACGGAGAAACTTTAGAAGGTGTGCCTGAACAGCAGCGAGGAGAGTTTTATAATCATCACTGCTACATCATTGTCAAGAGCGAAAACGTGCCAGACGATCAGATTGTAATATACTTTTGGGTGGTAAGATCGCTGTCCAGTGATGCTGCAACTATGATCAGTTTATAGCATGCACTAATATAATCTGAATGTTGAACAGGGACTGGCTCTTAAAGAATTTAGTTTCTCGGAAACTGAAATACTTCATCCATATTGAATAGCAAAATGATTTGGACAGAACATCAATGGGAAGTGTGGTTCTTGGAAGAATGGGCAGGGGTCGACCAGCACGGCGATAGACATGAGGTATTAGGGACGCAATGGGCAGGAAACTTCAAGAGGCAGGAAAGCAGGTCAGTGGCCCGATCGGGTTTACGGGGTGCTGGGAGCAGAGATGCTTTCTTGAAAGAACCTATACAAGAATATGAGGTATAGATAATCTGCTGACGAGCAATGGCTAAAACAGTTGCCTTTTAAAAAAGGCATATTTTCAGATATGCATTGGGGTATATTTGGAAAAAAAAAATTGATCTGAGTTCCAGGCTGACCAAAACTTAAAAACTGATATCAGACAATTTTATGAGAAGTTATACAGTCTACCAGTCCCACCTCAAGTGCCAACAAGTCTATAGAAATAAAAGACTAGCAGCATATGCCCAAAGCCTCTCTGGGCATTTAAAGGGGCATTTTTCTTTACTATGATTTTATAGAAACATTTGATCTAACATATTTGTGTTAACACTATTTGTGATTCTTTTGTTAGGGTAGTAAGACCAACTTCACAGAGCAGGATCAAGCTAAGAAAATAGCTCTTACTCTGAATTCTCATCTGGAACATAAAGCAACCATTGTGAGTTTGATTTTGATAACTAATTTGAGTTTACTGTGCCAGTTCAGTGCTCTAAAGCAGTGGTTTCCAGTTAGTGGTTTGCGGATAACAGAGGATCCCAGGGATCATTTTAATGGATCATTATTTAGTCGGCGTCTGTGGCTTAGGCGTTGCGAACGCGCTTCGTATTGCCGGGGTGCCAGGTGGATCCCTGCTGCGGACGGTTTGTCTGGCGCTGGTTTCGACAGTGGTACCGAGAGCTGACCGTTGAGTAGCAATGGCAGACTACTTAACCTAATATTTGCCTAGAAAAACCACAACAGCTAAAAAATGCGGTGGTTGATCTGCAACGTCCTGTAAAGGATACGCAACTAACTAAAAAAAAAAAGAATAAACATATTTGCAGCTTAGGTGAGGAGCGGCTAGCGGAACTATTAGAAGGCTGGGCTTTCACGAAGGAGACCCGTGTTCGAATCCTCCATAAAGCTTGGAATGTTTTTCTGTCTTGGAAAAAAAATCAAATCCTCACCTGTACAGTCTGTGGCGACAGCACTAGCTATGCGGCCGTAAATCCGCAGGCTCAAACCCCCCCCCCTCCTTTTTTTTTACACCGCAGAGGTGGTACCATAAGGCAGTGATTTATTTATTTATTTTCAAAATTGGGCACGCACGTCTTGATTGGCAGTCCGAGCCCTTGAGGTTTATTGCAGCAGAGATCACCCTCCTCCACTCATTTCGCTGATGGACCTTATCTTTCCTGTTGGTATCACTAGGTGTTTGCAGGTCTCTCTGGACATTATCTCTCCATTATCTTCTTGGTCTGCCTCGTAGTCTACGACCATTCAGATCCCTTGTGTTTACAGTTTTTACCTCCCTGCCATCCGACATTCTCTTAATATGCGACAGCCATTTCGGTCGAATCCTAAACATATATATATATATATATATATATATATATATATATATATATATATATATATATATATATATATATATATATAAGAGAGAGAGAGAGAGTGAGAGAGAGATAGAGAGAGGTATTTTCTACCACTAGTAAAAATGAGGTTTGAGGTTTTAAACAACGCATCTACATCATAGCACACGAGTAGTAAACTTTAAGTGCTCCGTTCTTCTAACTCAAGTCTGAGTCCGAAGAAGCTCAACACAGTGCACATGCGATGTAGCCCCGGCGAGGATCCTGAAATATTTTGGGAATATTTTTAACTCTAAATTTTGCCCCGGAAGCGCCGTTGAGCTACTCTTTTCAACTTCCAATTGCCGAGGAATTCTGTACGTGTAAAATCCTAAATAAGGGCTTAGATATGAAACATGTTTAACTAGATTCCTAGTTTTACATACTCGGTAGGTCAATTTCAATGACAATCGATAATTTCACATAAAATGCCAATTTCATTTCTGCAAGGCAGATATAATCTTTGGTTGTGATATGAATTCAAAATGTCAGACACGAGTAACTTTCCTTCTCTCATGTCCTGTCTACAACAGATTCGTGTGCTTGATGGCAAGGAGCCATATAATTTTTTCAAAGCAATACAAGAGAGTATAATTGTGGTGAGTTTAAACTACAACTCTGTTTGTCCTAATATGATATTGTTTGTTTCAAAATGGAAAGTAATTATTTCCCCCTACATATTATTTCAGGAGAATCCTGTGTACCTAATGGTAAAACATTGTAATTATGTGAAGTTTCGTTAAACTTTTTTGTAACTAAGATAACTAAAGTAAATTCTGCTGTTTACTACTGCTGATCTACCAAAAGGTGTATGAAACTACTTCTGTGAAGGTGTATTGACGCAATTCTCATTCTTTATATAAATATGACATGATGATGCTGCAATTTCCACAAGATTCCCATTTTGTAATTGTCTGACACAACATAAAAAAAAAAAAAAAAAAAAACTATTTGTCTTTACTGCTTACATTTACTATTATTTACAATCTGACAATTTTCGTAGGATAAAAGGTGGGGGTGTTGGGGAGGTGGGGGGATGGAGTCCCTGGGCCTGAAGATTGACGGCTACATGGCTAGTACAGTAGGCAAGGACTGTACCAGTTAGGATTTTATTGTTGTCCCTGACACACACACATCTAACTCCTTACTAAGGATTTGAGCCTGCGCCTCCTGACTGAGAGGCTCAGTTCCTACCCGCTTGACCAGCCTCTCATCGACAGTGTGGCAGTATCGTTGCCGGGATAGTCGCCGGTTCGACTCGACTACGTCTAACGACCATGAACTCTTATGTCCAAATGGCCTTTTGCTCCTTCCCACATTATCATTTCTTAGCGAGTCAACTGGCACGCCGATTATAGGTTGGGTCAATCTGTTTAACTGTAAAGCTTCAAGCAGACGACACAATCAGGAACGTGACAACAAAGACTACATACAGTTTCTGGCTCCGTCCTCATGACGCTAATGGTCATCCAACTGTGAATTACATCCACTTCAATCCAAATGATTGAATAGTCCACCAAAATAGCAACCCAACACTCTTCTAAAACAATGCTAATTTAAGTGCGAAATACTCCTTCATCACGAAGCAGAACTAATCATGATAAAATTATCCGTCTGTATGATTTTATTTTAAGCATGACGAAGCATGTTTCGTTGATAATCTTCCCTTCAGCTATTACCATTCGTTGAGCGTCCCCGGTTACAAGCCCATTACCAACTGCTAGCCTCCTTCTTCATACTTCTGTCCGCGCTACCCGGCCTGACACAGTCTCAGAGTGATTTCTGATCAGACTGAGCTGTATTTTTTTCATAAATGTGTAAGGGAGCTCAACTGCCCCGCTTCAAGCAACACCCGACAGTTCATGACTAACAGAGGACTCGAATGGAGCTAAACCGGGAAAAAAATGCTGATAGAGAGGTCTGGTGCAACTGTCAGAATGTTTCCAGAATTTTCTATTACCTCAAACTAACGTTAATTACTAGAAGTGTGATTCAATTTATGTCACTTGCTTCTGGTGTTACATGATATTAGTAAAGAAAATCTGTGTCATACATCTGTGACATATTTGCAACTTGTTTTGCTATGTCTGTAACAGTCCATGCCATCTCCGCGGCTGCCATCGCCAGGTACCGGGGCTGTGTTTATTTGTAAATGCAGTTTACAATCTCATATTCTATGGCTCCATGAACAACGCGTTTGTTTCTATCTGAAAACATCTGTGTTTTGTGGCTTTTGACAGAGCACAGCCTCTGCGTTCACTATGAGAGGTGTTGGGAGTTGGGGGGTGGGTTCAATTCTTACAAAGTTCTCAGTTGTGTTCTCCGTGTAGTATTTAAATGCAGTCTTATTTTAAACTTCACGCAGGTCCTTTTAATTTGTACGTCTGGGGCCATTCCAACACTGTCACAACAGATGTTTAATACATCTTCAGAAATCCAATCATGGTGCTCTAATAACTGTGAAATTGTGAAGTGCTGTGAAAATTGGAAACTCACCCACTAACATGTAAACCACATCGCTGAATTTTTATAAATGATTTCTCAGACTAAAAATAACATGTAATTGATAACTTCCCCTTTCCTATAAGTTAACGATCCTTGTGCGGGTACAGTCATTCTTCAGTTTCTTATGTTCAAATATTGTGCATTCGTTTCTGTATTACGGGGGAAAGGTGGGGGGGGGGGGGGGGGGCTTAGATTTATTTAGTATACATGCTAAATGCAGTCATGCATAGTCAGTCGTACATGGCATATTCATTGATGGACACGACGAATAGTCAATCCAAAAAAAAAAAAACATAAAGGACCCTTTTCCCAGCATTCAGACGCATTAGGCTTATAGTACCAGGTTAGTTAGTTGTGTATCCTTTACAGGACGTTGCAGAACCCACCCTAACAGCCCCTGGCACTTGTGTGGTTTCTCTTCGCAAATTTACGTCCAGTAGTTTGCCATTGCTACTGCACGGTCGGCTTTCTTGATACCACTGTCGAAACAACGCAAAAGCGCGTGGCCCGGCATCCCGGCATTACGAAGCGTTCGCATCGACTTAGCCACAGAGCTGACTTATAATACCAGGCATATTTTATAAAGCAATTAGCATTCGGTGGTTTATGTGGTCAACATACTCATCAGCCGCCTTTACTTCTTCCGACTTTACCTGTTACCCATTTAAGGTCACTGCTTTCTCTTCTTCTTTCGTTCACCTGAAATAAGTTATGTAAGCTATTTTTTTTCCTCGAATTACTTTCGCTGTCGTTTTTGGCTCATTCATTGGTCCGTAGAGTTTTTATTTCCACTGTTGGTTTGCCTTATTGTGTCACATTCGGTGCAGTCCTGGAGTACGGGTTCTGTTGCTTGAGGTAACACAAGTGCATATTTCTGATACACCTACCTTAAAATCAGTGTATTTGTGGTTGCGTAATAGGTTTTCGCCTTTTTTTTCTAAGGTGCAGGTTAATGACTTTTTCTGGTCTATCTATAATACAGCAGTCCTGCCATAGTCCTTATGACAAAATGCCTGTCTCCGTTTGGATTTGAACCCATGACTTTCAGATCCATAGACGAGCTTCTAGCTAATCGTACAAAACATATTAATTGGTTCACATGATGAACAATTCAGGTGTATCGTAATCTAGGGGTGGACGGGGATGGGGGGGGGGGGGGGCTGGGACGAGGTCTACAGCACCATGAGCCACCTACTCCTTTCTTCATTTCCTTAGACCAGCGTTTCACAACCTGCCGGTCGCGACCCTCTTTAGGTCGAACGACACTTTCACAGAGGTTGCTTAAGACCATCAGAAAACACATATTTATTGAAGTTATGAAGGGAAATCATTGTTTGGGGGTCGCCACAACATAAGGGAACTGTATTAAAGGGTCGAGGCATTAGGAAGGTGGAGAGCCACTGTCTTAGACAATTTGAAAGAGCTCAAGTCCCCCACCTAACTATGAATAGACGCTCTGTTTTTATGTATTTGATTATACATTTCTTGTTATTTCAAACCTACTGTTACATTTATATATTATACTATTACACACTTAAACAAGGCTTAAGCCCACTGAAACCAGTTGGGCCCTAAAATACTAATTTAAAAAAAGGGCTAAGAAGCACAACTTCCCCATGATTTCTTCTTTGGCAATAACCCCCTGGAACAATAATACGGGACGCAATCAATTTTCTATCAAATGAACAGTCAAGCACACATACTTGAAAGAGAGTGAGTGAGTGAGTGGGTGTGTGTCTGAGTGAGTGAGTGAGTGAGTGAGTGAGTGAGTGAGTGAGTGAGTGAGTGAGTGAGTGAGTGAGTGAGTGAGTGAGTGAGTTGGTGGGTGAGTGAGTGAGTGAGTGAGTGAGTGAGTGAGTGAGTGAGTGAGTGAGTGAGTGAGTGAGTGAGTGAGTGAGTGAGTGAGTGAGTGAGTGAGTGAGTGAGTGAGTGAGTGAGTGAGTGAGTGAGTGAGTGAGTGAGTGAGTGAGTGAGTGAGTGAGTGAGTGAGTGAGTGAGTGAGTGAGTGAGTGAGTGAGTGAGTTTGTGAATGAGTGAGTGAGTGAGAGACGAGTTTTGGAAACTCTTCTTATTAATTTAGCCATTTGTTTTTAACAGTAGTTTCGTGTGCTAATTTGTGTGTGTTTATTAATTAGAGGTCTCAGTGTTTGCTGTTTTGTATTTAAAATGAAATCCTGACCTCAGAAATAATGGGAGCTAGGAATGTTTGTTTCTCTGTTTTACACCATTAACAGTAAGACTGATAATGCCCTGAGAACACATGCAGTTGCTACTGAGAGCCGTCGAATGTTTACTTTTGTTATAAACGATTCACTTATTTGCTTTGTTATACTTCATTGTTTCTGTAGTGAGCACCTGACGAGATACCGCGAAACAAATCGTGCTAAACATTGACAGGAGTTAAATAGTGTGTGTTGTTTACCATTTTCTTCAATCACACCAGGACATCACACTGAGCGATAAACACCCGGTGACACAAAGTGCCGCCATTCGGAAGAGGATCACGCGTTGACCCAGAAACACCGTTCAACCCATAGGTTGGGTTATATTAGGGCCCTCGGCAACAACTAGGGTGGGGCTTAAAAATAACAAAAAATTCGTCCTACATAGGGACGGAGTAAATATATCATTAAACAGCGTGTGATTGTGGTTTTGTTTTTGTTTTACAGAAACATTAGGTCAATGTACATGAAATCAAATATTATTTATAATTTGTGTTATTTCAGTATGATGATTGTTTGGTAGAAAGGCACCATGGCAACCTGCAAACTCTGTATTAACAATAATACAGATTTCTCCAACAACACCCTAATGTTCTGTGTTCAGGAATGCGAATCTGATTGTACGAGAGTGTCCCAGGTAAGTTGAGTGAGTTACTTCTGCTTATAGCCAATGCCATGTGGTGTTCGTCTTCATATCTCTCTACAAGCCACATGTTATTTGTACTGCTAGACATGTCAGATATCATCATCATGTAGCAGGTTATTTGCAGAACGTCGCTCTCATCACAGTCTGTGTGAAAGAAACTCGGTCTCTTGCCAGTTTTCCCGCCTCATGAACTTTCACACTCAAGGAGTCACTTATATACTATGCCCATCTTCGTGTCGGTCGGCCCCTGCCCCTCCTTCCTGGTACAATGCCTTCTGCTATAATTTTTTCAATCCGTCGTGGCGCTTGATATGACCAAAATACTTCAGCATTCGAGAAAGCATGCTGTTTATTAGCGAATCTTCCTTGATGTTCAGATCTTGTAAGATGTCAATATTTCTCATCTTCTTTGTCCAAGATATTCTGAGAATCTTTCTATAGCATTTCAGCTCAAAAGCCCCTATTCTCTTTCTTAAGGACTGAGAGATAGTCCACGACTCACATCTGTATGTAGCTACAGGGAAGATGCATGCTCTTAAAATTCTAATTTTTAATGTCAGATATAGATGTTTATATATGCCATAATGAGAACAGTTCAGCATCCTCTCTGTTTATCTCCCCCTAGTTGTAAAAAAGCCAGTTACTTTTCTGGTAGGCAGGTGGATGTAGGGGAAGGATGGGGTCTTTGAGCTAAAGGAACTGGAGTCGCGTGGCTAATACTATCGCCAGAGACTGTGCAGGTTAGAATTTTATTTTTGCCACGGACAGAAAAATATCCTAACCTTACCCAGGATTCAACGCATGAAAGTATAACGTTTTTTTTTTACCACTATCCGTTCGGATAGCCGCCCTTTCCCTATAGTGTTTTGCACTTAAATTGTTTGAGCTTCTGCGACAAACTCTAACTGTCCCTTTCTACTGACGTGCCCAGTGTAAATGGATTGTCGCGTTTCTGACGCTGTTAATCAGTCAACTACAGTGCGTTCCAGAGGTACTGTCGAACTTAAAAAAGCTGTAATTCAGTAACAGTCTGGTGCAAGTTGTTGTAATTTGACATATTATTGTAATTACTTTTTTTTTAAATGTAAACAAACATTTAGATTTCATTTTGCCTCTTTTGTGGTACATGAAAAAACGGACACTGATTCGAAACAAACAATCAGCATGCTTACAGTAACTTAGTAATTTGAGTAAGGAGACCTTTTCAAAACATCAAATTATAAGCGTGTCATAGACATTTCACTCTGAGGTAGTCATCTCCAGCATAAGTCTGCCGTGAGCTGCATATTTTTCCTTGAGTATAGAAAATGCTATCAAAATAATCGCCACGCATGCTGCAAATGTGAACTGATTTCCAAACAATCTCTACAAGTGTGTTACAAGCTGTAATTTCTATTTTTCAGAAATTATTAGTCAAAGAAAGATTAAAGAAATTCGTCCCTTTAAGAAAACAACATCATTTACGCAATTGTAAATTATAATGCCATAAGGACGTTGCGAATCTAAGGCCACGTACAAACATTCGTGTTGATCCGTACAACAGTTTTTGATATATTCGTTAAAGTGTGACGGCACGAGTTTTGAAACGCACTATATAAAAAACAAATTAAGAGTTCACGATTTGTTTTATAGCTTATTTAGTAGAAGTATAATCTATTAGACATGATTTACAACACGAAATCAACTAGTGGGAATAGAAATAAATTGAATGAAAGATTAAATAGTATATTAACATTCGCTTGTGGGTTCCGGTACCCCGTTTTAGGAGAATAAGTGCTTGCTGAAATCGTGATGTAGGGTCGAAGTGTGCATATTCGCAGCTTAGCTGTCAACAGCAACACAGCATATAAACCCCATTTTCTTGAATGAATGAAGCGGAAAAAGAAAATGAAGTAAATATTGGACTGAAAATTATTGAGAGATAGTCACACACACACACACACACACACACAAACACACACACGTCTATAATTACTTCAGTGCCGTGATAAACTTTAAATAACATACCAGGTATATTTATAATGATCACATTTACACTTGCCACAGCCTTTATTTCATTGCATGATTGCCGTAATTATTCTCCCCTTACTAAACGATGTCAAAATGTCTAAAACCAGGTGTCTCCAGTGTCCACTTCCCTGAACTCTGCTGGGGTGTATGTCATTAGCTCTTGCCAGACATCAATGCTGTGGTTTGGAAAGGTGAGTGAACAAAATAATAATAATAATGATAAACGAGTACACACCCAAACACAAGATTTTTATTTGTGTATGACATAAAGATTTACTTTTAAAGTGGTAATATTTTCGAAAGCTATATTTTTAGGACATTTTAAAAAACGACATTTCGAATTTATGATTTTGGCACCTTTTTGTCTTTCCATACCATAGTATTAAATTGAGCTATACCGAGGCGTATGGATTACATATGATGACCAGTGAGACTAGCAAGACACACTAGCCTTAGGAAAAGTATTTCACAGTTAGAGAGATTTCAGGACCATAGTTGCCACGGCATCATTGATGGCATGCTACATATTTAAAAAAATATTGTAAAATTGTATTTACTATTCTGTTATTGGTAGTGCGGGGGAAAACTATCTAAATATCACACAGAAAACAGATAGTAGACTGTATTTTAATTAAAAACCATACGTGTACTGTTTTACAATTAGATCATATGAAATGTTTTAATAAGAAACCTAAATAGCATGTCTACAGACAAATTATGATAATGTATTTGCCTGTCTATATTTCACAGAAGTCTAGTGCTCATGAAAGAGAATGTTCCAAATATATGTTTGCATATTTCTGTCCTGAAAGGTAATAGATTTTTCCCATTTTACACTCTATGTTTCTAATAATTGGATATCATGTCCCGTTATGCAGTAATTAGGAAAAAAAGAATGATGTATTATTTCATCATTTTCTGTAAAAAATAAATTGTCGTAATCAAGAGTCAATCATCTACGTTAATTATTTACTTCCAATTTTGCCCCTTAACGCCGTGGCGGGAAACAGTTTGGATTCAGCGTTCAAGGGCTAGAACTGGCCATTGTCATTTAGCGTGAATATGTAATGTTTTTAGTATCAACAATTCAGAATAGAGGGAATAAAATGGTATGATAGAATAACTTATGTAGAACTTTGGGAGAGAACTAAACAGGCTTCAGTGGACCAAGAGGTGAGGAAAAGACGCTGGCGTTGGATAGGGCACACACTGAGAAAACATGAGAACAGCATAACTAGAATGTCTTTGCATTGGAACCCACAGGGCAATAGGAATAAAGGAAGGCCAAAAAACACACGGAGAAGAGAGCTGGAGAATGAGGCTAGAAAGATTGGGAGGACATGGGGAGAGCTCCATGCAATGGCGAAGGATAGAACGACTTGGCGTGAGTTGGTTGAGGGACTATACTCCACTGGGGGATAGAAAGGCAGAAGAAGAAGAATATCAACAATTGATCTTATCTTAGGGTCGCTCTTTCTCTCGCGATACATATCCTTTACGTGTAGAGCCTTCGTGGTAGTAGTTAAGGCTGTTTGCTTAAGAGATGGCTAAACCATTCCATCTTCTGCTTCTCAGAGGAGCTGGAGCGATGTGCTGTTCCTACATTCTGTCTGCAGTTATTATTTCCCACTCCGAAAAATTGGCAGCTTTCTTTGGGCATCTAGTTGATTTCTGTTATCTTTATCTCTGAACTGACTGTTTTCCCCTCTGGGGGTCTACCTAAAGGTGACCGCCCCTGTAACCCAAAGAGTCATCTCATTTCTGGCAACGCAATACAACAAATTTCAGGTGATCGTTCAACTTCCTGTTATCAACAAGCTATAAGATTCTATCGACGGTATTGCTAAACAGGCTAAAACCATCAGTCGAAGACATTGGGAAATTACCAAGCGGGTTTTCGACAGAACAGATTAACAGTAAATCAGACATTTATTTTACGGCAAATAACAGAGCAAAATTGGGAATATAGAAGAGATGCACATAATTTTTGTGTGGATTTAAAAAAGGCGTATGATAGTGTACGTAGAAACAGTTAATGGAAAGTTATGAAGGACTTTGGAATAACAAAGAAGTTAAGAAATGACCACACTATGTATGGAAGACACTTATAATATAGTAATAAATAAAGGCAGAAAGTCAGACCTTTTTCAAATAACACCTGGTTTAAAGCAAGGTGATGCTCGGTTCCCACTTCTTTTCAACTTGGCCCTGGAGACGATTATAAGGAAATTGAAACCAGAGTGATATGTAAGAGAATCTACAAGAATACTTGGATATGCTGATGACATTGATGTCGTTGGAGAAAAAAAAACCTGTTAAAACACTGACTCCTTAAAAGAATCAGGGACTAGTTATCAACGAGATAAGACAGAATACATGATAATAACTAGACAAAGTCAGGATGTAAACTCCAGCCACATACAATTCGATAATATGAAAATCAAACGACCGGAAACATTCAGTTGGTATTCATGATTTAAAAGTGGTGTAGAAATGATTAGTAATGCAACTAGACCTGGACGCCTAATTTCTTTTTGTAATGATGAACTTACTGCAAAATGTCACAGAACAGATAGTCCAAGTCCAAGTCCTTTTGAGAGAAAAAAAAAAGAAAAGCTCGACCACGTTCAGACTACTGCTAGCCAGAACAGATAAAGAAAGATTAATGTTTTACTGTCAGGATGATGGCAGATGAATCTGGTGTTAATAGAGAAACCCTTCGTAAAATTTTAGTGCAAGATTTTGGCAAGAAAAAAATTGATTTTAGGTTTGTACCGCATTTGTTATCTGATGAACAAAAACAGCAGCTGGTTGAGTGCCCACGAGACGTCATCAAAACAAAAATTGTTGCACCACCCAAAACAAGTGTTTCTTCTCAATCGTCCACCCTATTCCGCAGATT